TTCAAGTTCTTTAGTCAAGGAGTATTTACAGACAATTGAAATGCCACTTGTTGGGGCGCCTGGGTGGCTTAGTCGGTTGAGCGTCTGACTTTCGCTTGGGTCATGATCTCGCGGTTCGTGGGTTCGAGCCCCACGTCAGGCTCTGTGCTGACTGCCAGCTCAGAGCCTGGAGCCTGTTTCAGAGTCTGTGATTCCCTCTCTCTCTCTGACCCTCCCCTGCTCATGCTGTCTCTCTCTCTCCTAGAAATAAATAAAAACATTAAAAAAAAAAAAAGAAATGCCACTTGTTTATTACCCATTGAGAAGCTGATCATGTATTCCTAAAGCAATGTAGGCACGTTGCCCCTGGACCCTCTCCCCACTCCCATGAATATGTACTGCCTTGTGAACAACACATGCTCTTTTTCCTATTAGGACCGATTAGAGAGATTTCACAGCAAAACTATTAAACCTGTAGAACGATGATATTCCTTCCTTTGGTTTTATGACACAGAAATACTTAATTGTCCCCCTAACTCTCTGAGCACGTCTTCTCTGGATGTAGGAAGGCAGAGAGCAGCCATGCAAAGAGAATGAGGAGGATAGGGCGAATGGGAGCAAGGTGAGGGTGGCAAGAGAGAAGAATGGGTGGGTTTTGTTACTGTGCTGTGGGTTCAAACCAGAAATTATATTTAGGCCGTGAACAGAGAAGCCATGTCTTTGTATAACCTCAGTATATCCTCCCTAATGTTTACTGTCAAGAGCTGAAACTTCAAGGCATAGCATGAAGCGTTTCTAAAATGACAGAACTCTCACTTTAAATTTCTCCAGTGAAATGTCGTGATTGAAAAAAATCCCGTACTAGTCTTTTATTCTACTCCAGAAGGGCTGTCCTAATTGCCCATTTCTTGGACTAAAATATCTCTAACTGAACATACTTGAGAAAGATCACGATGAAATCAACATGAACCCTGGGAGAGTCTCATCCCACCATCTTACTGTGAGATGCAAGAATGAAATCATTCCTAGCCAGCCATCATTCTACTACAGCAGTAGTTTGTTCAGAAGGTATGTTACAGGTCCCGTCAGCCTCGGGACATAGAGTACACCACAAAGGAAGACTTGCCATGCCATGTCTCCAGACCTTTGTGAATTGTGAGATCTCAGTGGGAATTCTTCACACGTTTCGTGAGGTCCCACCAGATGCTCCCTGCTGGCTGTTCTGCATATTGGTCAAGATAGGAAGCAGGGCCTCCCCCCTGCACAGCTCCTGGGGGAATAGTCATGGAGAATCTGTAGAGTTCTGTCCTCTAGCAGTGCCAGGAAAAAGTGGCTGCCAAGATGCTGCTAGTAATTAAGGACTTGGCAGCTGAGGGCAGCCAGTGAGCACATACAGCAAGCACATAGTTACTGTAACATCCAGCTAGAACAAGTGAAACTCCTCTAGGTTGAAGTGGGACTGGGACATGTTTAAATTCACATTAATGTACCTCTCCATGCACCCCCCCACACACACACACACAGCTGTTGCTGGCACTTAAGAAATGAAGTGTGGCTCTGGCCACCCGGGAGCATGTGCTCCCAAGCCCAGTGCGCATTAACTCCATGTTAATTTAGTAAGGTGGTTTGTAGGCAGTGATAAGACCCCAAATTTATGTTCACTGATGCTTTGGATAATGGAAACATGCTTACTAAGGATCTTTGGCAAAAGTTTTTCCTGTGTAATTAGTAAACATCTTAATTATACACTTGGATTTGAAGCTGGTGCTAATCTTCAGGTATAAAAATAATGCAAATTAGATAAGGAGAGAAGACTAGAAGGGAAACCATATAGCATAATTCCATTAATAGAGTATAATAATTTATTAACGTTTATCAATATTTGAAATAAAGTCAACGTTTATTGAGTACCTGTAAACATCATGAAAGGATGTTATAGGAATACATAAGACACTATTACCAACAGTTAGGACCTTTCATTTTAGAATATAACATGTAGTAGGAGAGCAGCATAAAATTTTCAAGTAATTTAGAAAGGCTACTTCGAGTAATATAAGTATAATTAATTATGTAACTCCCCAGGCTTTTAGAAAAGATGTTGGATGAATACACATGGCTGCAAAATCTACATGCTGAAAATATTTATTACCTTGAGCCGTTTAAATATATATAATTACTCATTTCCAAGTATGTCCCACATATATTCCCAAAATCACAGGCTTAAGTTAAGTGTAGCTGAAATAGCAAACATAATGTTGATAATCTGCTCAATAGGTTATGCTACGGGCCATAGCCTTGTGGGTAAGTGCTAGAGAAAATGTTCATGATATTTTATAGCAGTGACCTAAGTTCAGCCATGAGAATAAACACAGCATTATAGACTTAAGGCCTAGAAGAAATATGAATTTTATAATTAATTTGCAAGCAAATATCACATTTAATAAAATTTAAAAATATAACACTTGGCTATTGCTAGTCAATCAAGTTACAGTTATCATCAGATGTAGTTTTATAAAGGAGGACGTTTTATTTTTTTTTTATTTTTTTATTTATTTCTGAGAAAGAGAGACAGTGTGAGCCAGAGAGGGTCAGAGAGAGAGGGAGACACAGAATCCGTAACAGGCTCCAGGCTCTGAGCTAGCTGTCAGCACAGAGCCCGACGCTGGGCTTGAACCCACGAACCGTGAGATCATGATCCGAGCCGAAGTCGGAGGCTTAACTGACTGAGCCACCCAGGCGCCCCAAGAAGGAGGACATTTTAATGAACTGGAATATTTTTACTATTTGAAGAATTATGGAAAGAATGGAATTAACACTGAAATATTACTTCAGATGTCAGTAATAAGGTTCAACACGTTTTTTTTCTTATTCATTGAGCCTTCTGCGGGATAGGAGAGGGGAGCCCTAGCATCTCCGTTTCTCAGATGAATCAGCTGAGACCTGGAGAAAAGTTTGTGTGATGCAGGCGGCTCCCATGTCTCTCATTCCTCAAATAATCAATATATGCTACCGATGAGGCACTTTGTTGATTTTTTCTCTTGGTTGGTTGTTCACACATTTATTTGTCAGGAGCATCTTAGTTGCATACCGTAACCTCAGCACCACTGTGCAGTACTCGTCTGCAGCTTCCCGTTAGCATATGTGAAGAGGATACATTTACTTTTCATTCAAACAATTCCAAATATCTGTTTTTTCTGCCACAAATCTTTTACTGAAAGAGGTAGTGTATAAAGAAATGAAATGATTTGAAATGACTGCTTTAAAATTGTTTTCCTAATTTTAAAACAACTTAAAGGACAGAAATTAAATCTTTTAAGCCCAGTTCCAATATTTAATAGATGTGTGGCACATAGGTCTGTTGTTGGCTAGTGGCTTGTCTTTTATTCAAGTTGGTAAGTGTCTCTGTGATGAATGTGGCAAATATTAATGGCCATGATTGTAATCATGAATGGTTGTTTTTTAAATCAAGTTAATTAGTGTGGCATCTTTCTACTCTACATGTGTATGCTAGAAGTCCCTCGCATGTTTAAACTTAGTAGAAAGTGGCTGAGCCTTCAAGAATTTTAAAATAAATTCTTCTGTAAAATTGAAAACCTTACACTGGCAAATAAGTTATTACCATAGCTCTAAGCTCACTTTGGCATTCCTAAGCTTTCTTTTCTTTTGATCCATTCAGTCATCCATACATCTTCCCAGTTAGCTGTCTACCCATCAACCCCACACACCTGCCATCCAACCCCCAACCTCCCATCTGCCCTCCAGTCTCCCTTCTACCTCCCCATTCTTTCATTTCTCATTGTCTATTTTAAGAGCCCTTGAGAAAAATGAGAAAGAAAAACAGGTTCTACTAAAATTAATACTTACTGATCTCTTGGTTTTAATGAAAATGATGACATGATATTTATTGTCCAAAACATGGCATTTCTAAGAATAAACAGGGTGTTATTGGTAGTCATGCTGGGAAAACAGGCATAAACCAAGACTCTTCTGGGTAAATCAGAACATAATGTCACTCGTACATAATACCTTCTCCTAAAACTCTAACGTGGGATTCTAATATAATAGTATGATATTTCTTAGTTCTGGATTATATGATATGTGAATTGTTGATTTGTATTAAAAATATAGAGCAACTCAGGTTTTTAAAGATTGCATATGTGTGTGTTGGTGTAAGTTAAACCTGACTTTTTGCAGCATTAATTCCTGTACATGTAATTAGCTAGTAGTTAGCTCTCCAACTTGAAGTCATCTAGATATTTAATGTATTCCATTTTGTTGCCTTGCCTTAGAGCTGATTGCTCTCCCATTAATTCAATGGAAATCTGTAAGTCACTTTCTCCAGGTATAGCATTTGCCAGGATGCCATAGGGGCTGTAACGAGGAGGAACACCCAGTCTTTGTGTTCCAGTGGTTCACAGTGTAACTGGGGATTGGGACTCGCAGCATTTATGCCATACCACTGCATAAGCTAGCGATTGCACATGGATCAGAACAGGAAGAGTAAGTGGTAGAGAAACGCTAAGAACTAGTAAAGGGGCCAGCAAAGCTAATTAGAGGGAGCAGAGATAGCGCTAGAATAATTAGACCCATTATAGCACTTGTTGGCAACTTGTTGGTAGAGAATAGGTGAAAATTAATTGGTTTATTTAAGTTTTAATGGAGGTATATGTAACTTACTGGCATATGAATTTTAACTTCCTCTGAACTCTCATCTCTGTCATGTGTTAGCTGTGTGATCTTAGACCTATTTCTTAACCCTTCTGGTCTATTCCCTCATTATAAAATAAGAATCTTAATAGTGCCTGCTCATAAAATTGTTACATTGGGTAATTAATATATAACAATTAGGACTGTGTCTGGTATTGAAAAAAAAAGACTCAGACAAGGCTCTGTTTCTGTTACTGTGATGTCTTTCAAAGAGAAGTAATCAACTAAATCAGTGTTTAATTGTAACTTACCTCATGTGCTGTATCCCAAACCTAATCTAAATTTTCCCTTATTGTTTACAATTTCTTTTACAGCTCGAAAGTCAAAGAAGTTGGGCAAGTTAAAAGGTATTCACGAGGAACAGTCACAGCAGCAGCCCCCGCCCCCGCCCCCACCCCCCCAGAGCCCCGAGGAGGGGACAACGTACATCGCTCCTGTAAAAGAGCCCTCTGTCAACTCAGCGCTGGTTCCTCAGCTGTCCACAATCTCACGAGCACTCACACCTACCCCTGTTACGATCCTTGAAAACATCGAGCCTGAGATCGTGTATGCAGGCTATGACAACTCAAAACCAGACACAGCCGAAAACCTGCTCTCCACTCTAAACCGCTTAGCAGGCAAACAGATGATCCAAGTCGTGAAGTGGGCAAAGGTACTTCCAGGTAGGTGTGCGTCTCTTTTCAAGGTCTGGATCCTGAAAAAGAGAAGTCAGGGCAACACATTTTGCCATCTCCCAACAGTGCAGCTAGAGTTTGCCTTCTATTAAGTCCTCAGACCAAATTTTTTTTAAATTTATTTTAATGTTTGTTTATTTTTGAGACAGAAAGAGACAAAGCTCGAGCAGGCTAGGAGCAGAGAGAGAGGGAGACACAGAATCCGAAGCAGGCTCCAGGCTCTGAGCTGTCAGCACAGAACCCGACGTGGGGCTCGAGCTCACAGACCTCAAGATCATAACCTGAGCCAAAGTCAGTCATCTAACCATCTGAGCCACCCAGGTGCCCCCAGACCAAATATTTTAATTGTTACCAAAGTAATCAAGTATGTAGGGACAATCTGTTAATATGCTCATTTCTCCTGAGATGTTAGGGCTAAGGGTTCTGTTGTCAGTATACATTTCTTGTGCTGGTGATTGAAATTGGACGTGTCCACCTTGAAATATCAATAAGGTAAAATACATTCTGTTTGAAAGCACAAGTTGAGCCCATTACTAGAAACTTGACACCAGGGCTAATCTGATCATAGACAAGTAAACCAAGACCTATCAAGTAAGTTGTATGAGATCCTGAAAGACTGTTCTTTCTGAAAATAACTATCTTGCCTCCAGCACCTTTAAAACTGTCTTTGAAATTCCTACTGTAGTCATTTTTTATGCTATAGAATTTTATTCATAAAGTCCTTCTTAATCTGCAGAAGCATCACTTAGAATTGTTATCTCATTGTCCCAGTTTGTTAATCAAAGCAACTTCTTGGGGGTGCCTGGGTGGCTCTTTCAGTTGAGCATCTGACTCTGGATGTTGGCTCAGGTCATGATCTCACAGTGGTGACCTTAACCCCCGTGTCAGGCTCTGCACTGGGCATGGAGCCTGCTTAAGATATTGTCTCTCCCTCTCTCTCTGCCCCTCTTTTCCACTTGCACTCTCTCTCTCTCAAAACAAAACAAAACAAAACAAAAAACAACAGAAAACAAAACCAATAATAGTAAGCAGTTTCTTGGATTACCTATGGTCAGCCAGGAGCCATAAGAAAAGAGATTGGGGAAAGCTCTGATGGTTGGGTGTGTGAAGAGGAACTGTCCCTGGTGAAACTCTGCAAACAGAAGAATACCATGATGCCCCTGAGAATACAGGGGATAAGAAAAGGAGCAAAAGATGGGCTACATAACCCTAGAAATGAAGACTGTGACAGAGAGGAGGGCAGGTGCCAAAGATGCTTATTCTACTTCATAACTTTGTTGAAGTCCAGTATTCTCCCAGATGAGGGGAAGCAAGGAATAGTGCTTTTTCAACCACTGTAAATTCACAGAAGTTAAAATCTCTCACCATTATTGTCTATATGTAGGAGTTGACAGTTATTAAAGTAGTCTTTATTTGAATGTTATTGTGAATAGGATAAAGCAAGTTTTACGGGTTAATACAGATTCTTTCAGTCTAACCAAAGGTTTTAGACCATCACCCACAGTGAAGCTGTCTGAACTCCCTGGTTTTATTTGTCCTGGCAGTTCACCCTCATTGAAAATTTAGGGTGAATTTAAAATGAGATGTTGGAACGTCTGGGTAGCTCAGTTGGTTAAGTATCTGACTCTTGATTTTGGCTCAGGTCATGATCTCATGGTTCATGAGATCGAACCCCAAGTTGGGCTCTGCACTGACAGCAAGGAACCTGCTTGGGATTTTCTCTTTCTCTGCCCCTCCCCTGCTCGCACACACATCCTCACCCTTTCTCTCTCTCTTTCTCTCTCTCTCAGTAAGTAAAATGAAATGAAATGAAATGTTAAAGAGGGCCATGCCCCATGGTGGGTGCTCCATAAATGGCTATTGAATTGATCTGAGTCTGTTAGAGAGAAGTGACTATTTAGGGTTGCCTTAAGAAACTTCTTCCTGGAATGTACTTAAATGCTAAGTGTATTTCTGTGATTAATTGTTCTGTTCTTCAGGATTCAAAAACTTGCCTCTTGAGGACCAAATTACCCTAATCCAGTATTCTTGGATGTGTCTATCATCATTTGCCTTGAGCTGGAGATCGTACAAACATACAAACAGCCAATTTCTCTATTTTGCGCCAGACCTAGTCTTTAATGAGTAAGTACCTATTAATTAGCCTTCATAAATTAACCTGGAGAGTTATCTGTTATGCTTTTTTTATGACTTCTAAACATAAATCATATGTATGTTTGTGAAGAATCCACTGACACTAGCATTTTTAAGAGTAAAAAATCCATCATTTACGAATTTAAAAATTACTCTTTGCAGAATTATAATGTACATGTCTGAGTATATATAAATCAGTATATATAGATCTCCTATAATTTGTGGGAATTGTCCCAAATGAAAGAGGATCCAGTTGGCTCTAAAATCTTGACTGGTACAAAGCCATGATTAATAGAAAACAGTCTCTTTTGGTATCTACTCCAATTGAGAAGACTATCTAATTTCTAGGAAATGTGAATGTATGAAGTGCCAGATTTTTACATGCATTCATACAGTGGTTCTTTTGTTAACAGTATACAGCTGCTCAGTGTGTTTTTGTGACCATCATTATTACCTGTCTTTGCAATCATAAAAAAAGCCAAAATGTTATTATGTAGTGAAACATTTTTAGTTTTATGATGCATTTTAACAGATTGAAAGAACTGTAAGAGATATTTCTTTGGCCATGAATTCCTTCCTACGTTACATTTACATTTCAACACCGTTCGCATTCCATGTTAGCACATTTTGCATATGTTTATTTCCAGCAGTGCTTCTTTGTAATTGTTGGGTCAAGAAATACCTAAAATAAAAAGGAAACATTTGAATTATGATAGTAACCACAGCCATATCCTAACAGATGGCTCTCTTTAGAGATATGAAAATAGGGTTTTTGGTAAGGAAGGAAGCACGTAAGAAATAGATTGGTGATAAAGAAGAGCAATGCAAACAATGAAAAGTGGACACATAGTGCCAGGATACCTAAGTGGTGCCTTAACAGTTTACCCAGGACGTCCAGGTCACTTGGATATGGTATGCCACCAAGACCATTTCATAAATCAGGAGCATCCATTGTTGGTTCTTGAGGTGACCCTTCTTTTGGTGATTAGTCAGAAAGAATATTTCTACTGCACATAATTTTTCACCGAAAGGGTGAAAAGAAGCCAAACAACTGACATGCACATTTTCATTTACTTGTGTTCCTCATTAATCAGCTGATATTATTATACAGTAAGCCTGTTTTTTATTTATTTTATTTATTAGTTTTTTTTTAATGTTTTGTTTATTCTTGAGAGAGAGAGACAGGGCATGAGCAAGGGAGAGGCAGAACTAGAGAGGAACACAGAATCCGAAGCAGCTTCCAGGCTCTGAGCTGTCAGCACAGAGCCTGACGCGGGCTCGAACTCACAAGCTGTGAGATCATGACCTGAGCCGAAGTCGGATTCTCAACCCACTGAGCCACCCAGGCACCCCGCAAGTCTATTTTTTAAATATGGTCTAGAAACCAAAAGAAAAACAGATTAAAGAAGGTCCTTGCTTTAAATGGAAGTGTGGGTAAACAGTAATAGCTACTCGAGCCATCCAGCATGTCCCCATTTGACTTTAGCAGATTTAAATGATCCATTCAGTCTTGTTTAGTATATCTATTAAGTTTTTCTCATAAAATAGATATGACATAAAAATTTTCCTTTTTAATAATTTTTAAGGGTATAGTTCAGTGGTGTTACTTATGTGTACAGTGTTGTGCGACCATCTCCACTGTCCATCTCCAGGACTTTCATCATCCCATCCCACAGAAACTTTGAACCCATTAAACAGTAACTCCAAGGTCTCCCCTCCCCCAAACACCTGATAACCTCTAGTCTATCAATTTGCCTCTTCTAGGTGTTTCCTATAAATAGGGTCATACAGTATGAATCCCTTTGTGTCTAGCTTGTTTCCCTTAAGCCTAATGTTATCAAGGCTCACCCTTATTGTAGCATGTACTAGAATTTCATTTTATGGGTGAATATTATTCCATTGAATATATATAGAATCAGTCCTCATTGTTTATAGATTCTGTATCTGTGAACTGACCTTCTGGCTACATTTCTTTGTAACCCCAAAGTCAATACTCAGAGCACTTCCACAATCCTTCCTAGATGTGCTCAGAGCAGCAGTGAGTTAGAGTTGCCCAACGTGTACATTTCAGCTGAGACTCTGCTTTTTTGTTTCAGCTCTCATGCTGGGAGCAAGTGCCCTTTTCATGGTCTGTTTAGTACTATGTTTTGTTTTGTTTTTCATTTTTGTGCTGTTTTTTGGTGATTTCACTGTTAAAATGATCTCTAAGCATAGTGTTAAAGTGCTATCTAGTATTCCTAAAGAAGATGGCTGTGATGTGCCTTGGAGAAAAAAAGGTCTTAGGTAAGCTTCTTTCAGGCATGAGTTATAGTGCTGTTGGCTGTAAGTTCAAGTACCTTTATCAAGGCACATATATATATATATATGTATGATAATATATAATAATATATATTAATATGCAAAATATATATTAATATATACTAGTAAGGTGTGCTTAAACAGAAATGCACATAAAACAGGATTATATATAGATTAGTTGATGAAAGTGACCAACAAGTGGCTCTCGAGAACCTATTTCCATTAGGAAGAGCAGTTCAGTATTCACTAATTCAGTGTTTGCTGCAACTTTATAGAATATCACTAACTATCTTATTTATTTTTACCAAATAGAGAGCATTGACCACATTTTATTTATCCATTCACCTGTAAATGGATATTTGGGTTGTTTATACCTTAGGCTATTATAACTATTGCTACTGTAAACATTTGTATGTAAGTATCCATTTGAGTCCCTGTTCTCATTTCTTTTGGATATATACCTAAGAGTGGAATCTCGGGAGCATATTGTAATTCTGTGTTAAACTTTTGAGGAGGGCTCCGTCAGGTTGGCGGCTGACTCTTGATCTCAGCTCAGGTCATGATCTCAGGTTTGTGAGACAGAACCCCGTGTTGGGCTGTGTATTGACAGTGCGGAGCCTACTTGGGATTATCTTTCTCCTCTCTCTCTCTGCCTCTTTCCCACTTGCTCGCTCTCTCTGTCACAAAATAAATAAACATTAAAAATATTAAAAAAAAACTTTTGAGGAAACACTGTACTGTTTTCCACAGCATTCGTACTGTTTTACAGTCCCACCACCCATGTAACAAGAGTAACAAGAGTTCTAATTTCCCACTTCCTTGCTAACACTTATTTTCTGTTTTGGGTTTTGGTTTTTTTTAATAGCTATACTATTATGTATAAAATGTTTTGGGGTGGCAATTTTTTTAAATATATTTGACATATAACATTGAGTAAACTTAAGCTATACAAGTTGATTTGATACATTTATATATTGTAATATGTAATACAATATGTAATATTATAGCCATAGTTAGTACCTTTATCAAGGCACATAATTATCTTTTTTCTTTTGGTAGCAGTAATTCAGATCTGGCCCATTTCCAAGACTGATGATTATAATATAATAGTTTATACATTCACTACACCGTACATTAAGTCTACAGAACTTAGTTACTACAAGTTGCTGGTTTGTACCCTTAACACAGCATCTCCCCATTCCCTCCCCCTCAACGCCCCCATAACCACTATTCTACTCTCTATTTTTACAAGTTAGCCTTTTTTAGATTCCACATATAAGTGATATCCTACAGCATTTGTCTTTCTCTGTCAGATTTATTTCTTAGTAGTTGTGAAGTTGTATCTCATTGTGGTTTGATTTGCATTTCCCTAATGACTAATGATGTTGGGCCTCCGTTCATAAGTGTATTGGCCATTTGTAGATCTTCTTTGGAGAAATGTCTATTCAAGTCCTCTGATCATTTTTAATTGGGTTGTTTGTCTTTTTGTTCTTCAGTTGTAGAAGTCTTTATGTTTTCTGGATATTAAACCCTTCTCAAAGAAAAGATTTATATGTTTTTCCCATTCTGTGGGTTCGCTTGTCACTCTTCATAGCACCTCTTTAAAATTTGAGTTTGGGGTGCCTGGGTGGCTTAGTCGGTTAAGCGTCCGACTTTCGCTTAGGTCATGATCTCGCGGTTCGTGGGTTCAAGCCCCACGTCGGGCTCTGTGCTGACTGCCAGCTCAGAGCCTGGAGCCTGTTTCAGTCTGTGACTCCCTCTCTCTCTGACCCTCCCCTGCTCACGCTGTCTCTCTCTCTCTCTCCTAGAAATAAAAATATTAAAAAAAAATTATAAAATTTGAGTTTTTAATTTTAATGAAGTGCAGTTTATTTTTGTTTTTCTTTTGTTGCCTGTGCTTACAGTGTATTCTGTTAATTTTTAATGGTACACACATATCCAAGTGTGCAGGTTCTGAAAAAAGTACAAAATTGTAAGAATCCTTTTTAACAAATGAGATTTGGGGGAAAGCAGCTTATATTTGAAATCTAAATTAATGTAATTAAAGGGTTTGGGAAGTAAGTAAGAAACCCAAAATAGAAAAGACCATATATGCTTTTTGTGCACTTGTTTGCTCTAAAAAAAAAAAAAAAAAAAAAAAAAAATCGAGACAAAATGGAAACACAAAAGTTGCTTTCCAATGCTATAAATAGTAAAATGTTATGATATTCTATAATTATTAGACTGAAAATGTTGTCCCTGTTCTTCAAACTTTGACCTCAACTCCAGCCTAGAGTTCTGTAGTTTTCTCTCTACTAATGAGTAGGGGCGGCCTGTGTTTTTCAAAGTTGAGAAAGGGGAGAACCAACCCTCAGAAATGACATAAAACCTGTCGATCAAATCACACCAGCAAAAAGAGCTAGGTCAGGAACTGTCACAGGATGTTATCAGAGAACCTGTATTTTTTAGGGAGACTACTAAGTTCAAGAAAACGTCCTGCAGCTAAAGTCTGAATGCTTACACTTGCATCATCCTGCATTCATTCAGGGAATGCTTACTAACTGTTGTCAATGTTCTGAATGGCAGTTCTCACATAGGGAAAAAAACATATATATTGTCCCTGGCTCGTGGAACATAGAGTCTAATCAGGGAGACTGATATTGATCTGAGAATCTTCAAATTCTGATTGCAAGTACTGAAAGGGAAAGTACTTT